TACAATGAATGCTGACTGGCTGAGTTTAGGATCCGCCTTTTGATCATTTTCTTTTTTATTTTTATTTGTCGTCTTCTCCAGGGGGAAGAAGAAGAAAAAAAAAATACGAAATTGTTTCGCTGCCAACAACACGCTGTCTCTCTGTCTCATCAGTCCAATCGGAGCTCCTTATTCTTACATCGCTCCTTCAACTCCCCACTCATTGTTCGTACGGTCACGTGCCTTCCTCGTGAGCGCCTCATCCATGGCTTCCGCCAATTCAGTCCGAGTTGCCGCCGCTCAGATGACTTCGATCAACGACCTCGCTGCCAATTTTGCCACCTGCTCCCGCCTCGCCAAGGTTGTCTAGTCCCCTTCTTCCTTTCTCTTTCGGTTTTGATTCCTTTGATTTTCGACAAATTTCGTGTTTTAGAATTTTGCCGTTCTGCGGTTAATTAACTGCGTGATGATTGTAAATTTGATATACGTTTTGGGAATTGATGAAGAAGTGATTGCTATGTTTTTTTTTTTTTTTCATTTTCCCGCAATGACGAGTGCATATAAGCATGTAATTAAAAACTTAAATTGATTAAATACACCTGCATAGTACGATGCTTATGTTACAGTGACTTGTGATCATTTGTTACATGGCGTGAAATTGGTAAATAGTGTTTTGGGCGTTATTTTTGAACATCCAAACAATCTATGTGTTTAGAGCTGGAAAGTATTGTTATTTATTGCTTAAGTTATTCTAAGTCAGTTAAGAGTTTGTAAGTTCAGATTTGAATTATACGAATTGATTTGGTTGGAGTTCTCTTCGTGATCATTCTAAATTTTAAAAGTTCTTCATGCAAAGGAAGCGGTTTCAAAGGGGGCAAAGTTGCTTTGCTTCCCTGAGAACTTCTCTTATGTGGGTGCTAAGGATGGAGACAGTGTTAAAGTTGCAGAACCCTTGGACGGTCCCATTTTGCAGCAATACTGCTCTCTAGCAAGGTGGTAATCTTTTTAATTATTGCTCATTGACTTACATTATTTCATTGGTTCATCTTATATGTACACTGATTTGCAGCATAGATTGTCTATTCTCACAATCTCAACTCTTTCTGAGCAATCATTATCTGCAGCCAGTGGTGAAAAAAAAAAATATATCTATTCTTGTCAATTTCAGTGTGGCTGTATTTTGACTGGCTGTGGTAATGTCCTGGGATGTTGTAGTTTACTTGTGCCACCTTGTTGCAGAGAGTCCGGAATTTGGCTGTCACTGGGAGGCTTCCAGGAGAGAGTAGATGACACTCATTTGCATAATACACATGTCGTGATTGATGATGCAGGGAACATTCGCAGCACTTATAAGAAGATACACTTGTAAGATGCTTTTAGGCTTCAGCAAGATACCTCTTTTGCATGTTTGGATACAATTAGTGCAGTAATGGAGGGGAAAAGAAGAAGGAAAGGAAAAAGTGTTCTTTTATTAAAAAAAATTAAGAACTAAAAGTCTTTTGACATGACATTGTTGAATAGGAAAATATGCA